CACTGGTTGGCTGACTGTATGCCAGGCTCGCAGGTTACATTTAACTTCACTTCTATTTATTGACAAATCCTGTCATTCTTTTCCCCAAACATGAACACAAACAATGAATAAAAAAACTTGCAACGCTGTGAGAAAGAAAAAGAAGTGAGCATCTTCAAAGAGAGATGAAGGTGCTGTACCATGAAAGCAGAGGGGTTGGGGGGGTGCCCGGGGAGACAAGCAGGGCAGAAATGGGGAGAAGCCTTCAGTTTTCTTAGCTGGGCCAGCAGTGGGGCGAGGTGAGCTTTGGGGGGATGGAAGGAAATGAGGGAGGGCTGAGGCAGGCTGGGTGACCTGGGTCTTTGTTGGCAGATGGTGGGAAGCGCCACCTTGGCCTCTCGCTCTGAATGCTAAGCAGCGCTGCCATTGTCTGACAAGTGCACCAGCAGACGCATGCGCTGGGTGTTTCTCTGGCAACCAGGAACAGAAACAAACTGCCCCCCACCCTAGCACTGCACACATACACGCTTCACCACCCTGCTTCTCCAAACCACGGTGCATCTCAGGACTCCACAAACACACACACCAACATCCTCCAAGTGGGAATTCCCATACACCAGGAGCCCAGGCCAGACAGAGCGTAACACGCTCCCACACTCCTGACCTCAGAGGTCCAGAGAGAGTGAGAGGTCAGACAAGTAGCAACACTCAGAGGGCCTGTTTTCATATACACATCAAATGCAGTGCAGTCTAGTGCAGTGCTGCCTAAAACGGGGCCCAGGGACCATCAGGGGAGTTTCAGAAATTACACGGAGGTCCCAGGACAAAGCAGGGTAGTGTAATTTTCCTGCAACTACTCTCATTTGATGTCAGAACAATTTATCCATTCTATGAACTCCCACCTACAGCATAGATGGTTATGTAACTCAAAGACAAAAAAAATCATACTTTAATTTAGTGAAAGATGTTCAACAATTGAATATTCACTCTAATCCAATTAAATTCAACAGCACCACAAACTCCAAACTGACCAACACCTCATCAGCACACTGTTAACAAAACTAACATGATAACATTTATGAAAGTAGGATTTATTGCACTGCTGTTGCAGTGGATTGAATTAATAGTAGATTAACTAGTTCAACCTAAAAACTGACACGGCATCAGGGTCTTGTCAAGCGCATTATCCCCCAACCCCATATGGTTTACATAATATCATAAACAACTTATAGAGTATTGAATGTTTTGGATTTAATTTAATTGAAGAAGCCTTCGTGATATTATCTTCAATCCCTAAATACATTCTGTCAAACTATGGTTAATCAGCGAGGATAACAAGAAGTAGTCTATGAAGTAACCAGCTATTGCGCTATATGTATGTCTGCTATAAGTTTGTTCCTGTGCATTTACCAGGGAAAAAGTTACTCTGCAGCAGTTGGTCAATAGCCACAACTTCATCAAGAGGAAAATCCCATTATGTTGAACAAAATCAGACTGATCGCTTTGATTAATGTGCAAGCTAAGCAAAGTTAAGAAAGAGTGATCACAACACACCAAAAAGGCAAATAAAACAAGAGGTGTGATGTCTCCTACTTTAAGAGAAATGTTTACCACTCTTCTAGTCGTTATGTATCTCTATCCCTTAAACGAGGCACTCATTGAGTAAATGGAGAGTGCAGTTCTATATTCAACTGGTCTGCACTTACAATTGTATAGTTAAAAGTAGGTTAAGCAAATTTAACAGTTATTTTAAAAGCCTGGGGAGTCAGAAGAGGACATGGCACAACAGATAAAGAGACCATTATCTTCTGTGCTGTGCTTGATTAACTCATCTAACTCACAGCCAACATTACAACACATTGAAAGCAAGAAAGGATTTCATACTGCCACCTGCCATAACCAGCTACTTAGTGCCCCCTTGCACATGTCAGAAACACAGGGCGGCTGTGACCGTGGGTGGCAGGAAATCAGGTTGAGACATCACACCCCAAAGCTAAACCATAGAAGAAGCTGTCACATCACAAAAGAGACATATCTCCCTCACTGGCAGGCAGGAGATGTCAACTTAATCCTCCGCTCACACTACTGCCACCATGCTGTAAATAAAACAGGAGGTGACATAACCACAGTGACTTCACTCCACCAAAAGTAGGGTAGAGTAATACTGGTCGTTCTCTGTGTAAACTCAGACGGATACGGCGGTTAATGGTTCAAAACCACTTCATATAAACCAATACGTCAATAAATGTATTATTACTATCTTGCTGGTCATTTCTACCGACTGTCATCCTGAGCGCACACCGATACAGGCCTGTCAAGGTTCACAGTAGCACCACTTAAAGCCAATCTCATGTGAAATGGAAAAGGAAGTGCAATTCCCACAAAGGCCTTGTGTAGGTTAACATTAGCCCCATTATTAAGTCACAGGTCAGCACCATTAAATGGATGAGGCTTTACTGCTCTGCGACGTTGCGTTCACTGACTTGGGCACTTGCTAGCCACAGAGGCTAACGTTGCCTTAACTTAGCTGGCTGACACAGTAAATAAGCTAATGCACCTTGCTAGCCAAAGAACGGTAACGTTAACTGAACAAAGCCGGTAACCGGTGTGGAAAGCCTGATAGCTCGCCGGCAATAGAGCTTTCCTCTACCAAAGATTGTCAGCTCGTCTATCATTAATATACAATGCCACTATAGTCAAATGGCAGCTATATTTAATCACAAATGTAACTAGAATCAGCAGTTTAGCGTCAACTCCCAAAAACCAAACTGACATTTCCGTTAGCTTTGCCAACCGGCTTGGTAAGCTAATGTTAGCATACTTAGCTAGCTAATTGTCCCCTCCCCTCCCAGCTCCCTTCAAACGAAACCATCATCCCCGCATCCAACCTTCTATCTATCACTAATTATCTAATTTACCACTTATAAAACAACAGGGTGTGTTGCACTCATAATGATGTGTTAAATGCATAAAATCACAAGCCGTTTCCATGTTACCCAAGTGAAAGGATACTGAGGTGGCGGTACAGCGCCGGGCTGAGGAGCTGTTGTGGCTCCCGGCGGCAGAGACACGGAGGTCAGGGTAGCCCGCAGTTGGCTCGACGGAGAGGGGCCACTTCCAGGTCCGCTAACTGCGACAGCGGCGGGTTTGGGAACCACTTTCGGTGGCAAACTCATCGCAAAAAAATCAACAAATAAAAACAATACCTTAATAAATACTGATACAAACAACGCCTAGCTTGCATACATATAGCAAGCGTAGCAGATTCTTGAAGCAGGCCCCAAATCCCTTTAACGAACTGGGATAACGAAGCTCGAATAGCAACACAAACGTCTTTTTTTTTCATGGAAAGTCGCTGTTCGGATCAGCGGTGCTATTCATGGGGACGGTGGGAGGTTTAGCCTCCCTCGCCCGTCCGGAACCTCCGCGGATCCGGCTCGGTTCGTTTCTTTGAAAATAAATAATCGCCACGATCTTCACTTTCCCTCGGCGATCTACCTTTCCTTCTCGACAAGTATGTTTTCTATCATTTTTTCCTCACAGAGATGAGAGACTTCGCCAACATGGCGTTGCGGCCGCTTCCAGCAGTCCGGGCAGGACAGATGAATCGGCAATTCTCGGCCAGTTACGGATTCGCTCGGCTACTCAACTAACCTACAATCCAGTACGCGTGGTTCACGTTTCTACGGATTTTCGACTTTATTTTATGATTTTAGATTAGTCTTGAAAGTAAGACATGTCATTGACAATAGCTAAAACATTACGAAGCAAAATAACGAAAAAACATGTTTTAATTATATCAAAACATGTCAGCACGAAGTTTTGAAAATACTCATTTGCAAATAAAGCTTTGTTCAATTAAACCAGTCTTCGGCTATTTACACAGTATAGTTCATTCCCTCTGCTCTGCACCTGTAGCGGGACTGTAACGCTTGTAATGCGCTTGTGTGTTATTAGCGCCATCTACTGTTCTTGTGGCTGCTACGCATCTGCAAGTGAACCAGACAATTTCCTTTTAGATTTACTGTAATTGGTTAAGTAATGTAATCTGAGACAGTGGGTACTGTATGAATCTTGTCACATGTCGCGGTACAACACAAACGTGTGTGTGAGAGTGACTGAGTGAGCGAGAGAGAGAGAAAGAAACTAAACAAATTGTTGACACCAGACAAAAAATGTTTTAAGACTGGTTTTACTATACAAAATAATTTGTGACAAACTCCAAATACTACAAAATAGGTATGACACATCATAGCTTAGCCTATATGACCGGGTTCTGAATGGAAAAAATTGTGATTAGCATTGGTCTTTCATTTCAGAAGTGAAATGTCAGCAAAGGGACGCTGCTATCTTGAGATCCAGAAATTATTTTTAATCACAAATATGTCAATATCTCTATATAAAATGTAACAGTTTGACCAGATTGTACACAAAATGTATCTGAAATATTGCAATGGTTCAAAGACAAAAATATTTATACAAACTCTTAAACAGCTATAAAAAACTGTCCATAAGACACATTTTCATCTTCCACCAGGTTAAAAATCTTGCAGGACCCGGGTCAACTATCAAATAAAAAACTGTGACCATAAATAAAATACAATAAAAGTAAACAGAAAGAGATCCAAGCACAGTGAAGAGTTACAAGTAAAATAAATGTCACGTTGCTTATTTATCACTTTATGTGACAAACAAGCCGATAACACAATTTGACAGTGGTTCCCCCATTTTTTGCAACAATTTGTAGGGTTTCCAGTGTTCAAAAAGAGCAATTATAGCTACATTTAACTTCAGAAGTTGGGGAAAGCTGTTCGCAAAACCAACCGTCCTTGTGGAGAAGCACTGCCATTCTCCATTCAGAGCAGGCACATTTTGTAATATATAAGCATTAAGTGGCATGGAAGTAGGAGATTCAATGGTTCTTGCGTTCCCTGTCCAGAGAGACTTTGTCTGTATCGCAAACTTATTTCCCCAACGTCCATTTCACTCCTTGCTGATAAACAGCACTGTGCAATTAAGCATCACCAAAGCTCACACTTATGTTTAGGGTTCATGGGATCATCCGCTTTGCAGCCAAAGTGCTTTGAGAATTCATGTGAGTTAGAGATGGTGCCAATGACTCTAAATCTTGACGGACTGTGAGGATCTGTGATTACGCCCTCGTGTGAACTTTCAGGTGTCCTTACAGAGCACCATACCTGAAATAATAAAAAGGATAAATGAGGAATTCATTTTGTCATATTCATCATTTTTTTCAGTTAAACCAGCACTTAAACATTGGAAATGAAAAATAATTGCATATTCATAGATAATCGATTTTTCAAAAAGGGAGAGGACATAGATGTCATTTTACAAGGCACATATTTGTGGAAAACACAAATCATGATTCAAGCAGAATTTTTCCTATGTCTGTAAACATGTCTTGAGGGGAACTTTTAAGAAGTATGGTAAAAGCAGCAGTAGTATTAATATGTAGACAGTATGATTGAGTCAGGAGAAAGAATGTGTAAGATGAGTGATACAAACCTGGGCAAATCCTACAAAAAACAGCTGATGGTTAGTCATTCCCAGTGCTGGCAGTGTGGCCTCCTCGCCATTCTTTTTGATCCAGTCCACATAAGCCTTTAAAAGCAACAAACAATTATGTTGTTAATGTTACATCTACTGTTTTGCTCATGTAAAAGTATAGAGTGATATAGACCAAGGGAAAACAGAAGATCTATCTCTGGTTAACATGTACCACTTAATGCAGGCTGCTTTTACTTCCATATGATTTGCTTATCTGCTTCATAGCCTATGATCTTTCATTTCATGGAAAGAATGTGCGCATGAAAAGAAGCAACCAGAGGCTGAGAAGGCCACTCATAACCACCTGTTGCATTTCCAGGCTTCACTGTAAACTAGACAACCTGCTTTTTCTAATACAGATAAATCGATGTGACTCTCCACAGCCTTGACAAATAAACTAATGCAGGGGATTTATGTCTGTAAACATGCAATCTGACATGGTTGGCATAGGAAACATGGTCTGAACTTTCCGTAATAATTTTAATGCTCTCTTGAATTAAATTGTTTGTCTACGTCTACATACAGAAAATATTCAAGGTTATTTATGCTTCCACTCTGATATCACACCTTGTAGGCAGCCTTGAGTCCACCGTTGTCAGCGATGTTCTCTCCCAGGGTGTGTCTTCCATTCAGAGGCTCCTTGTTGATGCTGTAATTTCCATACTGCTCCACCATGCACTGGGTTTGCTTCTTGAAGGCCTCCACAGAAGAGTTCTTCCACCAGGGACGCAGGTTTCCGTCCTTGTCATATTCCCTCCCTTTAAATAAAAGTGAGAAATATTACTGTTTCCACCACCACATCAGGATTCAGAAGTCAGTTTTAATCAAAACATTTAGTATCAGGAGGATGATGTTATTTGTCATCCTCTGAAATGTAAACTGTTTAAAATGGAAAACCTTATACCAACCCTGGTCATCAAAAGCATGAGTCAGTTCATGTCCCATGACTACGCCAATTCCACCAAAGTTAAGAGCTCTGAAAAACATTTTAAAAATTCCACCATTATAACCCCTGATAACGAATTTTGTATGGCCCACAAGTTTGTTAAAGAAATAGTCAACATATTGGGGCAAGCATTCCTGCCAATAGTTGAAGTGAAACAAAACAGCAATTCCGTGTTATTATAAGGCAGCACATCAAAGGACTCTTGAGTTTAGCTAAACAGTTAGAAGCTGCAATTTAAGACCATCTTCCATATTCCATGCTGCTTTTATGGTTGTGTTAACTAAATACAATTATTCACTCTTGTGGACAACAAACTTGTTCTTTTGCTTTGACTTCGGAACCAACTACCCCAAGAAGTTCTCAGGTGACTCCTCCATTGTCGGCTGTATTACAGATGACAGGGAGGAGTAGAGAGACCTAATCGTGAACTTCATTGGGAGAGCAACCTCCTCTTGCTCAACCCAGGAAAAACTAAGGAGCTGGTGGTGGGCTTCCGACACAGCACCCAAATCGTGATAAGGGGGAGGGGGTAGAGATGGTAGACACCTACTCTATGGGGTGCAACTTAACAAAAACTGGACTGGACGGACAACACCAAGGCCCTCGACAGGAAAGGACAGAGCAGGCTGTTCTTCCTGAGGAGACTCAGACCCCTTCAACGTTTGCACCATGCTGCTACAGATCTCCTACCAGTCTGTAGAGGCCAGTGTCATCTTCTTTGCCTTGTGCTTGGGGAGGTGGCATCGGGACATGTGGCACCAACAAACTGGGCAAGCTGGTGAGTTAGGCCAGGTTGGTGGTGGGATGGAACTGGACAGTGTAGAGACAGTGACTAAAAGCAGGATGAAAGGGAAGCTGAAAGCCATCATGGACAACCTCTCGCATCTTCTCTATGCTGAGCTGGGGCAGTTCGGGAGCACTTTCAGCCACAGAATAATCTAGCACTGCGCCTCAAACGCTTCGAAGGCTCATTTGTCTCATCTGCCATCAGATTTCACAATGACACAACACCCACCGTCTCCCGTCTCTAATGACAGACTCTCTTTGACTGTACATAATTATTATTGTATTTGATTGTATATAATTATAATCAATTCTACTTTTATTGTAGTTTGTTCTTCTTTTTACATTCCTCTGTGCTGCTGATTCCAACTTCCATTTCCACTATGGGGAATTAATAAAGGAACATTTTATCTTGCGATTCTATTCTTTTAAAATCCATCCAACATGATTTAGTAAACTTTAAGTGAAATGTACTTAGACCTACTTAGGCCAGGAACGACTGTAGAACGGAGCCTGAAGAATTCCCGCTGGCAGAACCATCTCATTCTTGGTAGGGTTGTAATATGCATTCACAGTTGGAGGGGTCATGCTCCACCTGAAAAAACACGCAAAACAGAGTGACCGTGTGAGGCTGACAACAAGGTCACAGCAAATACAGAATATCGATTCTGTCCATTCTGCTTTGCCAGGCTGACTGCAGATCAGTTCGGAAGGCATGGGAACCCTGATCTATCCCCTCCCCCATTGCCTAATTAGAGACAAGGATCAGTTCAGCAGGGGGAGAAGTTGGTTGCCTGGGAACATTTGTGGATGGCAGCAGTATTTTGCTGAGTTAGTATAATGGGAATGTGTCCCCATCAGAGCGTGCAACCTCCTCTCTGGCAAGCGGGGGCGGTGGGGATTGAAGGTTACAGGGAGCAACTCACTGGTTTCTGTTGGGTATTTTCCTCAGCTGGTCCGCAGTCACTCTGGCTGAGAAGTTGTAGTACTGCATGACATTTTGGAAGTAAAGTTCTGACACCACCTCAAACTAAAAAAGAAGTGATAGCAAAATGTTCAGTTCAGTGTTTTAGTGAGGCAAAAAGAGACATCGTGTGATAACTAAAATTGTGATTAGGACATAAAATATATTACAGTTCCAAATTTACCTACATCATTGAACACTTTGTCCACCTTTGTGGCATTCATGATGAACTCTGGATATCCAACCATGTTGTATATCGCATCTGCCTGTGACAAATAAGAATAAAAAACTGTAAAAGACATATTTTCACACAAGGTGGCAGTGCTGTATTTCTCCGCCACTTCAACACACAAAGCAGCTCAATAGAACTAATTTACAGATATTAATGTCACCTTAAAGCAGCAGTAGGATAACTTAATGAGAAAGAACCACACAATGTCTCTCTCCCACCTTTTCTTTTGCTGCTTTTTTTGTGTCCTCATCCATCCAGCTGACATACTTCAGGCTATCCTCAAACGCCCACTTAATTTCTGCAACCATATCTTCAGCCTGAAGCACAAAAGGGGGAGCAGAAGAATCAGAAGCACATCATCTCACAGAGTAGGAGCTGCTATTGTGAGGGAAGGACTTTGAAGCGCTCACAATGGCTTTGCTGTCCTCAGCAAAGGTGGCTTTGACAAACATGGCTCCAAGAGCAAAGCCCAGGGCGCTGTCTGTGTCACTGACACACAGCTTCCAGCGTGGAGTGCAGCTCTGCAACATCAAATTAACACAGCAAGACATGTTAAGGAAAAATACATCCTCACATTCTCTTACACAGTTAGTTTTTTTTCCCCTTCAGCATGTTACATTTATATTCAAGTCATGCATCCGATTCAATTAGTCACTTCCTACATTTCCCAGAATGAACATGACTAACTCCACAGAACATGGGTGGGCTACATGTGTAGGTGGAGAGAACTGTAGTGAAAGTGGAACAGTTGGGAAATGAAGGCAAGATAGTGAGAGTGTTTTTACTAAGACAGAGCAGTCTACTAATAGCCTGCTATTTCTCCTGCGAAGCCCTGTGACAGAGCTGCAACTTGGCCAATCTGTTCCTGCTTCTTGCCCAATGCATGCTGGGATAGGTGCCAACCCCCCATGACACATGAACAGGATAAGCATGTATATCACTTTCTCCCTAAATGTGAAGTGGTTGTTTTCCTGCCAGTGGATAAATTCTTTTTGCCATTAATAATATCTTAATAATATCTATACAAAACTATATTAGCATTATTAAATTGTTTCTTTTGGTATATATATATATAGCATACAATACATAAAACATGAAATATAACTAAAACGGCATGAAATGTATTAATATTTCCTTTTTTTCCCCCCTCACCAAATTTAAATCCAATGAAGTAGAAAGCTAAGAACTCCAGAGGAGCAATAGTGTAGAAATTCATCTACCAAAGAAAACCAACACAAATAGAAAATGAGAGAAAATGGTTGTGATCTTCTTATGACCTCTGAGCTCAGCATTTTGAGGCAACACTGAGCAGTTATCTCTCTTTGGGCCAAGATACACATTGTTCTCTCTATAGGACAGTGTGCTGGGTTGTTTTAAGATAAAATGGCATAACCAGTACACCCCACATGCAGTCTTTCTGACTATTTACACTGAAAACTGAAGCAATGTAAACAAGCGAAGGCAGTGGTGGAACAAGGCAGCTTCATTTGGTGCTGAACTATTTTCAAACATTGCTTTGAGTGTCATTTACACAAACCTAGAATAGCCTTTGATGTGGTATTTTATGTCAACAATTACCATTTGCATTTTGTTCATCACTGTTCCTACTTATATTGACAAGACATAAACAAACAATATACAAATGCAAATTAACATCTATGGTCAACAGCTGTGTCTCCATCTTTCTTAAATCAATGATTTTACATCTTAACTTTAGCATGTAAATCTCACACTCAATCAGATGATTTACTGACAGCAGGTAAAAACAGTCCCAATATGGCAAAGTTATTATCAGGTAAAAGGAATGAAATGAGGAGCCTTCTTAGCAAACGACCAGTTGTAAGTTAAACCTGTGGACATGGGCACAGAAGAAAAAAATTTATTTTGAATAAATTTTGACTTCACAGCTAAAGCTTCAGTATTGTAACAGTACTCAGAAAGTTATTTCTGTAGATCTTACTGAGTACTTGCTTGTCACATAAAGAGAATGTGTGTGTGCTTCGATGTGCGAGAACAGGGAACAGATACTGGTATCATTTTTCACCTTGAGCTGTCTAGATAGCAACGCCTATGTGTGAGTATACAGGCCACATAGAACTAGTCATATTAGGAGACTTTGTTTTAGAGTTATGTGACAGCCAAGCAGCTCACATGGATTACATACATTTTGTTTTTCACTATAACAAGGATGGAACATTCCCGGGGGCCAGAGGCAACTCAGAAACTGTTCATTTTGAGTTTTCAGGGTCCTTCTCTCTGTGTATACAATAAAAGTAACTTGCAACTCACGCATAACGTTGATTTAGAGGCTTTTTCAAGACCCTAAAGGATACTGAATATCTCTAGAACAAAAAGAGACACAGCTGCACTCCCACATAAAACAGATAGACAGAGAGGCACACACAGGAGGTTTGGGGTTTGTTATTACAGCTTGACCCCAGCTGAAAACAAGGCAGAGGGAATAGGACCTTGACCAGATAAGGGCTCATGTCACTGGAGCCCTCACAGTCAAACAATTACTCAATGAGAAGGAAGTACAGCTTGCTGCAAAGTCAATTTAATGTACACCTAGGGAGAATATGTATTAAAGTCTGAATATCTTCAACTATGTGTCTAATTAAAGGCCCCCTTCACCCAGTCTGCAAAAAGCTTTCTCATTATCTGTAGCTTACTGGCACCTAGCAATGCATATTGTTTTGGTTTGATTATCCGTCTCTGGGATTTCTGCTTCCGACCCGATACAATGAAGCTGATTGAATTTTGTTTGTGATACACAGCGTCTCTGTCCAGAAACACTGTCCCAGTCATTCTGAATAATCCACAAACCTCACCGAGAAGCCTTTTCAACAGAACTATTTCTTTGGTAGAAAGTAGTTCCGATAAGAATTGTTCACTGTGAGGTCTGTGGATTATCAAGGATAACCAGGCCGCAGTTCCTGGAAAGTCATGCCATTGTTGAATTGTCTTGAACACCACAAATGAAATTCCATTCACTTCAATTGTTCTGGGTCGGCCAAAATCTCAGAGGTCAATCTCAAAATGTGGGCATGAAATGCCAAAACAATCTGCATGGCTAGATAAGTGAGGAAGTGAGAAAAGTGTTGTTTTTTAATGTAATTTGGGTTAACGGACCCCTTGGTTGAAGCATTTTTAAGCAACTAGAGAGGACAGGATATGCAGAGTATAATCACAGGTTTTCCTTACTGCACACAAGTGTCTACATTTTATAAAAGGCCTACATTTCAGTTGTGGAAACCATCTTATTCAGACTGGTTTATTTCAGTATCAATTTAGATGTGATATTTTTTGGGACACAGCTACATGTAATGATGTTTCCCTTCATTCTACTATACTGCTGCCCCAGCGATACGTGCGGGTCTTTGTCATGCACACGTGCAAACTTAAACACTGTGTTAGAAACCCAGTTGCACATGTGGGCCAAGAAATCAGGTTTCTACAGCAGAAATGTAGCAACATTAGGCAGATTTCTCTTTTTAACCTCTTACCTCACTTAAGAAAACCAGGTTTCTCATTTACATGAAGTTTAAGAAATCAGGTTTAAAGCATTGGCTACTAATACTGTTCTTGTAAAGTCAAAATACTGTTTCTCTGTTGATGCGAATTTCTATTTAACTGCATTCAGTAAATGAATCCTCGGCAGATTCTTTGTCAAACATGAGGTCAAATGGAAACTCTCTAAACCCAGCTGTGTCTTTGGACCATTTCCTCTGCCTATATATACTAGACTTCTAATAAGCCCACATACCCTCAAGCTCATAGGATTCTACTAGTTTCTCTAAGTCTGGTAACTATTCAAATAAACTTTTCACTGCTTGTTTAAGTCAAAAGGCAGTAAGACAATGATAAAAACAGCAACAACTTACTAGTATTCAGTTCATAAACATGCTAATATTAATAACTAAATACATTATCTGGATGAGAATCTGCCAGCAGGTAAAACATGTACATTACATTGCAGTTTTTCCCCCATTGTGTTTAAAGCTATCTGTGTCATGCTGTCATGCCTGCATTGAACCTCTCACCTTCTTTGTTCCATACATGACCTCAAGGAAGCGCTGCTCTGCATTCTGGAACCTTTGGTCCAAAATGGACACCATCTTCCTCACCACCTTCATTATCATGTAGTTGTTCAGTAGGCTGAAAAGGAGATATCAAATCCATTGTTTTGTTTCCCTCTACCATGCCGCTTGAATGTTTTACCATTGTGCCTTTCAGTAGGAGGACTTCTATTATTCTTCTATATTATGGGGTGGGGATGTCTGACCTTTTATTTGTTTTTGTAATGAGGTCAGAAACTTTCTGGAGGTATTCTTTGGCATAAACAACCACTGGCTCTGAGTCATTGAGTGGCACCGGAGCAAACACTTCTGTGAGGTATGGCATCCAGTCCACTGCAGGAACCAGAGTCTGTAAAGACAAATAAAACACACACAATTAAACAAACACTGAAACATGTTTTTGAGAAATGCCTGATCACAAATATGTATTGTTTCTTTACAATCCCACATCCTGAAGATTTATATTTACCCATAATATAGCTTTTCTCTTTCTTTGGATCATTGCAGCAGCAGTCATGATTTGAAATGATGATCTTAAGTACTGTTGTTGTTTCATTTGGCAGATCAAACCAGGAGACACTTACTGTCAGATCCTTGGCCTCCATCTTATGGTAGATGAGCTCCTCATCCCGTCTCTCATCCTGAGGGACTGTGATGTTGGCCAGGGCGGTTTCAAAGTCCACAATCTCCTCCATCAGCGTCTGAGACATCTGCTTTGAGCCACCTAGGAGAACCCCTAACTCCGTCAGGAAGTTGAGGTATGCGGTCAAATACTGCAAAGTCCAAGGAGGCAGCACGGTGAGGGGGAGGGGTTTGCAAGACAAGCGGTGTGTGTATGTGTGATCAAATTCAATTAGGAATGTAATCCTAAACTATGCAAACACAAGCTACTATTCGCCCCTGAAGCTGAAATAATTATTTTAATATTTCTTGAGTTTATTTGCAAGCATCTGCAATGAGCCTTGAGCTTTGGGTATTTTCAAAACTGAATTCAAAGTAATGTATTTGCTCTCATAACAAAAAGATCCAGATATTAATTTGATGACCTGGCTTTAGCTTTAATATCTTTTACTTTTACATTCCAACTTTGTACAAACTTTAACCACTGTGCCACCAGTGTAATGCTGTAAACGGTACCTTTTCATTTGCTGTTCTGTTGAGGTAGTAATCCCGTGAAGGTAGTCCCAGGCTGGACTGATCCACCTGAAGTCAAGAGAAACATCCTATAACTTCCAGCTCACCCTCCATTTCAACACTCACAAACAACCTTTTATTTTCATTCCTGTGTTGCCAGTATGCAGGCTAAGAGCAGAGGCTCGCCAAAGATACTATCTGTTACAGTCGCATGACACTCTACAAAGGACTTGTCAAATTGTCAGTGTGAGACCAAAACCACTGTGATAATGAGTGGACTGTCCCCAGAACATCAGCTGAGATAAAATCTGTCCCCTTAGGGAAGCCTATAAAAGCTGTTGGTGTTGGAGGTAATTTATTGTTAGAATTTAAATGTGAATGTAAGTTTATTAGGATGTGAAGGTTACATTAAAGTAGCGCTTTCTGAGATGTAAATATATGATTTTAGCTACATTCATACTGTATAATTGTTCAACCAGATGAAGCCTATAAAATGGCCTGGCTATACATCTCTGGCACTCTCACCTGGATGATGTTACTGTTAGAGTTTTTGGAGTCAGTGCTGACAAACACGGTGAAGAAAGGCGAGGTGCGATAGTTGGCTGACACCATACGCAAAACTTCCTGGAAGTTGTCCTTGTCCCATGATCCGGTCAGGGCCCATCCTCCTATCTGAAATAGGCAGCGTTTAGGCAGACACTTAAGAGACTGCTTGATGCAAGGAGATTGGTTCTTTTGATAAAGGAAATAAGCATACCTGGCTGATTAGCTCCTGCAGTGGCTTGGCTCCTAATTCCTCAATCTTGGCCTCATTCATGCAGGCCTGATAATATCGCTGGGCCTTTTCCTCAGCCTTACTCAGACCTTTCATCGTTGTGTTTTCTGCCCAATGAAAGTAATAAATAAGATGAAAAACCAGCCAGTTTCTCCAGCTCTCGAAAATGAGCTGTAAAACAGACACACTACACCCTTGCCTGGGGTGGAAGCAGCGGAGGGAAATTAAATGCACTCAAACAAAAACCTCTACCTAATAAATGCTTCATTACAAGCATGTTGTGCTCCCAGAGGTTGCTGAAAGGTCCCCAGCGGGATTTGCCCTCAGGGAGGGGGTTGTTCTTCATCCAGCCCCCACAGGCAAAGTTGTAAAAGTCATGGCAGGGGTCTACGGATCGGTCCAGGGCTCCCATGACCGCACTGGCCACAGTAATGCATGGCTCTGTTAGGCACAAGCCCGGGTGAGCTGCAGGAGAAAAGATTTTTATAAAAGAACACATTTAATTCATAGATAGTTTGCTTTTAAACTCTGCTTTAACAGCCTTGAAATGCGAGTAACCGTTTCTCCTGGTAGAAAAAACATTTTTAAGGTTCCTCAATGGATAATATCAATGTGGGTCTTCAGACCATCTGGAAAATATTATTTCACAAGGAGATTAACAGCCAAGACACACAACCTGGAGGGAATATTTCTCTTTGTAAAAATCCTTTATAAATAATTAGCTGTAACGTGGCGATTGATGATCTCGTCATCATAGGAGGCAATGTTACGTGTCAACTGTTACCAACTGATTATGTAATTGTCTCATTAAAAGGTTGACTAGATAGGTAGACCAAGATTCAGGATCTTGGATGACTTTATCATCTGATGACTCAGAGAAGTCAGTCACTTATTAAATGGCTAGTAGATAAATGTCATTGCTCTTTGGCCGGTGCTACTAGCTAACTGTGACTTCGAAAATTACTTTTTCCTTAGAATGGTTATTTTTTTGACTCGTGTTCTCTAGAATATTGTGAAGTAGAAATGATTAGAGATGGAGCACAGAAGCTTTGGCCACTTTATGTGACTTATTAAAGCCTAAACATAAAGGTTGTTTCACAGGAAGTGCTTTAGAAAACGAAAGGACATGTTTAGTGAAGTGTAAGTGTTTGTGTAAGTTATTGCACGGCACAACTCCAGGGGACAACTCACTTCTAACACGAGACTTACAGTAAAGACTTTCACCACCTATCCATATAGGGTATGAAACAGAGACGGAGCTGAAGTTATGGACAGTGGTGAGGTTAATACCCTGAGGAGAATTCATCCTTGTTCCTTTTATTATTTCAAAGTGTGATCTGACATGTGGTTCTGAATGGGAGGAAGTAGCATTACGTTTCCCATGGTAAATTTGAGGAAACCAACACAGATGAGACGCCGCCTGGATGTGATAGTAAATCCACAAGCCCTTTTTCCATAATGAACAACCTCAAGGGAGAGATTTAGGGTTGTTTTTAGGCAGCTTAGCTAAAGGTGTGGCTTTGTTTTAAAAAAAAACACACTCACTGTATTAAATAGCAGAGCTATGTAGTTTTACAGTTGGATAGACAGACAAAGATATACACGCACAATCAGCGTAGAAAAGTTACTTAACAGCCTCTGGGGGTTTACAGATCTTTTTCTAACCTGGACATTTTAATGTTTCTATGTCATACACAATTATCTTTGATAGCCTAGCTCTAAAAAAGCAAAGTTTAGCATAAAGACTAGCTAACTACCTGCTGGCTGTTTCAAATGTAATGGTCTTCTTATCCAACTCTTTGCAAATAAAGGAAATTAGGTGTATTTCCCTAAATGCCTAACTATTCATTTAAGCCTCTTTTTGTGTGTGTGCGTGTGTGTGTGTGCGTGTGTGTGTGTGTGTGTGTGTGTGTTTTCAGGTTGCTTTGTTTTTGATTTGACAATATATTAAAAAATGATTAAAAAAATGTTTTCATCCGATGTCCTCTGGTCAGGCTACTTTACACAAGCCACAGATGTTTCTTTTCTGCATATTTCACCATAGCATTCACTTTGAATAGACCTTGAACTTACTCTGTTTGTAGAAGACCCCAGTTGTGATGAGAGATATGAACAGGCCCAGAGACACGACGCACAGTAAAATCAGTAGCCTCCTCTCCCTCTGTGTCTTGTCTAGCCAACATGTGGGACCACGGCCGTGCAGAAGAGTCACCTACACACACCAACAGACACACAGTAAAACCTTTGAGTGCTTCATTTAATCCACTAAGTCAAATGAGATGCTTTTGAAGAGGTTTAAAAAGGTTAGAAGACATAAAATCAGCTTTAAAAACACACACTCGGGTTACTATGTTGAACTAATACAGTGTGGAAAATGTTGTCTATAGTCAAACAGCTTCTCTGGGATTTGATGACAGGTTTGGCTTCAAAGCACAATGGCTTCTCTATTACGGCACTTTCCCTCTAACACAGACAAGTTTAAGCATTCTTCTATTGTTCCCTCGCTTCTAGATTAACATGCACTCATAAAAGGATATTTTCCTTTTGCTCCAGATTGGGAAAAGACACAATAAACCTGTTGAACCATATCTGCTGCTTTTGTGGTCCACCTGTAAATGTTGTGGGAAGTCCAAATCCAAAGAGTTACAATGATTGATGCAGTAGATCTTAAACCAGCAGCACACCCTGCGCCTGCAGTTTTTCTACTGAAGTGAAACTTTAGCTAAGACTGCCAAGGCAATTTATTTCCTATAGGAATGATTCCAAGGGCCACTCACTTTCCCAGGGCACATTTAGCACTCTGGTCCAGTCTCTGAGTATCCCCACTGTAAATAAATGCCAGATCTTGGACCTCAAGTATATCCTGTGGAAGTCAATTACCCCTGAAGTGTATATAAAAGGATCTGATTTACTTCTATTAGCTCAGATGAGAGTTCAACAGTCAAACTTTATGTGACCAAATCATGCCAAAGCCACAGTGGTTCCTTAATCCCAGGAGCTCAGCTTATTGGTTGGTTTGTACCAAAACTGTGTCTGAGTGTAATTAAGAGATCCACTGCCAAAGCTTGTGCACTTTCAATTTCTAGTTTATCACAGTCTCTAGAAACCGCATTTTATTACCCTGAAAACCACTGCAAAATTATGTCAAAATCTTTAATTCAAGCCCTCTGTTTGAGGTCTTCAGGTACACTCCCGGTTAAATAAAGTATGTGAGGAATGGCTGCACTGAAGGATCTTAGCTCCACTTAAACCATGAATAAACATTATCCAAAGCGCCCAGAGCAAACCATTTTGCAGTGCTATTTTTTAAAACCATGTAACAGTAACAGGATGACAGAAAACCGTACTGTGAGTACAGCAAACATAGGGCAATGCCAAAAACTGGCTGCACATATAAATTAGGGGGAAAAAACTCTAGGGTGAAGTACACAACAACAGGATAGTCTAAAGCAGTCTGTGTGTTCAGATGAGTACAGTATGTTGTTTAACACGGGGATTCCGCCCAAATATTATTTACCCATTCTGGAAATATTTGCAATTTTTGGTTTATCAGCCAATATTTCAGACTATATGCTCATAAACAGAACTGTTTCCAAGGACATAAGATTTAAATAATTTAATCAGTGTGTCTGGTGTGCGTGTGATGTCTTATAGTCAGATAACTCCTAACTTCGACAATTACATACAGGGTGTAAGGATTTGGTTAGAAACCGGAGGGTCGCCGGTTTGAGTCCAGCTCGGAACAGAGATATGGAGTGTGGACTGTTACCTGGAGAGGCCAATATTTCAGACTATATGCTCATCCCTCTCACTCTGACATCTCTCCATGTGTGTATTCCAGATTTGTGTGTATTAAAAACACTGAATATTATTAATAAAGTATGTCTTCTTCTTCACGTTAGTTTAGAAACTTTCTTTTGTTGTTTGTTTTAAATAGTTAATTGTGTTTCTGTGTCAACAAGTCTACATCTGCTGGCAAGAGAGTTGGATTCGCTGTTATAGCATGATTTAATTACTGTATGTATATTAGCAGTAAACCAAATATATTACATTCATTATGTGTCTTCCCATATTTCAAGCCTCACACAATGTAGTATGAAGCATCTGTTTAGCAGAATGGCCTCTGTAACATATTATGAAGGCTTTTTGTAATTCAGGCCAGACATGTTGTATTTTAACAAGAAAAGATGAGACTTATTATTATAATATCAAAAGCATTAGTCAACATCCCACAAGTTACGGACAGACATTAAACCAAGTAGTATCTAACATACAATGTTTCAACAAACACCATTATCAGATTGGGATAACGCATGTTTATCCAAAATGATTTTCACATTTTTACTTTAACTGGTTCCTCATGAGTTTAACTGAATTATGACCTCATGCCCCAGTTCAAACTTTTCAAAAAAGCACAACTTATTGGATGTTCATCCTTTTTTTTGAAGTTCAGGTTTTTCTGAAAAGGATTTTTACATGACAACATTGTTATTTCCATATGTCGTAAAAAACCTAAAAGGCCTATACATTTTTTTCGATGTACAGTGTAATAATACCGCACTGGCAGTAACCCATTTGTTTATTATTAGCGCAGGTGTTTGCATGTTTACCTGCATAGGGGATGATTGGTAGATGTCATCACTGGTAGAGTCCACCAGGTCCTCCTCATCCAACGTGGCTCTCTTATACGTTGACATCTGAAAAGTCAAATGCAGAAAAGACTCTCTCAGTGCTTCCATGTTTCTCCTAGCCCCTCTCCTCTCCCACTCATTAGTGTGAGAGTGTCTGTGTGTTACGTCTATTCCTCAGCAGTCTTTGAGGCGTCAGGGTAGGGTTTCCCTCTAAAATCCATCAGGAGGAATCTGGTTTGTCTGGTTAGAGCTCTTCCTTTCAAACACAGAGTTGACTTGTGTGTCACTCCTCTCCTTTCAAAAGCACTTTTCTGACCCCTTCAGCCCCAACAACACCTCTCACCGCGTTCAAGGCATCTGGCAGATAAAAAAAACCTTCTCCTGAAAGTCCTTGTAAGATCTCCTTGTGGGTCCGCTCTTCCTCTTTCACAGTTTCGTGCCTGTTCCAAGGCAATGTTTTTTCTGGACTTCCTCCTCAGCCCAGTCTACGCAAACACAGCATGAGAGAAGACGGAACTAGCGTAAAACAGGAAGGAGGACTGACTTGAGCAACTTAGCTGAGTGTGTGGAAGTGATTGTGTGTGTGTGTGTGTGTGTGTGTGTGTGTGTGAGTGCATTCCCCAATGTGGTTTTACTTAGATTTGGGCAGGGACCCTCACAGTTGTAGTTTACACCCAGTGTCACTCGGGGGAGGGGCCCAGACAAAATACACTCCTCCCACTACATGCTTGTAGTTGCTGCCCATGGTAACGGTTACCTGATAGGCATCAGTCCGTTCCTCTCCAGTTTAACCCCTCACCCACAGCCCCACTAACACAGGATACAAACATTGCAATAGTTTACTCCTCACTAAAGTGATGTAAAAAAAAATCAACATGTTAACAACTAAACTGCTAACATACTTTACATACAGTGAGCAAGCTGTACTAAATATGACAGTCACACGGATAAAGGACTAAATCTTTTAAAATTATTTACGATGAAAAATTCCAACAAATAATATGCAGGGCTGACAGTGTTCAGTACACATTCCTTATTTTATTGAGATGTCTGGTAAACATATTTTAAAATACCTAAAAAAAAACAATGATGTCAGTCCCAAGTTTTACACTCTAAATGTTAATTAATGTAAAATAATCTGACTTTGTAGCATAATATCGCAAATGCAGATGGAGGCACTGTTATACATTATAAAATGCTTAAATTGTGCTTCACTTTTTTTTTGTGTAAATTTTAGTTGTAAATGTGGTTAAATGATTAGTGGATTAGGCTAACATATTATTTAATTTCATAATGTAGCAAGATGTGTTTTAGCTGCATTAAAAACACTTGCTATTTTAAGTGCATTCACACTGACAGTTAGGCAAAACTGAACTGATCAAAAATGAACTGACAGGTTTATCAGTCAACATATCAAATGTTCTGGTCTTTACAAGTGAAATGAGCTACCACGCTTGGTTGCGACACATCCTTGTGTGTTGTTATGGGGATAGTTTGGTTGTGTCCAACTCTCCTTAATGAGGCTGTAAAGAGTTCAGTAGATATTTTTTATTGGCTATAAACTATTTGCATTTTAGCTTTTGACCCTTGAGAGGGTTCCTAAAAGTTATTTGAGTCAGTGTTATTTATTTGTTATGAATGTTTTTGTCCATAGGTAAAATAGACCTTTTTTACTGTATGATCAGCTGATGAATACAAAATCAAATGTCAAACAAATCCAATGTAACAATAGTAAACAATGGCCCGGTAGCTGAACCACGAGGCACTACAGAAGCATGTTTACATCTGATTTTCTTACACTACAGTGTCAGCACTGGGCAACCATTAATCTCAGCTGTCTGTCAGCTTGTTCCATAGTGATTGCTCAACACAATGAAATACACTGCAGAGATAACTCTGAAAAGAAAGATTCCTATATTTTAGCAAAGTAAAAATATGATTAACATGTGCCAGGCTCTAAAAGTACATCTGAATGTTGCCTGTATTGATCTCAGTATAATCTCAGCGTCCTTCTGGACATTTACCTTCATGCTCTGGCTTGCATCCTCCTGTGTAAACATCTACTGGGAGTAACCTGACTGTGACTAAATGTATCTGTTTACTTGATCAAGACTGATTTTCTTGTAAACATAACCCAGAAGCAAACCAGTCGCAGATCCATGCTTTATTTTATTTTCTGCTTGTTTCATGTAAACATGCCACAGATAAAAAAGCCATGTTCCTGCCACAAGCATTCCAGCAAATTCCAGGCAAACCGAGAGCACAGATTCCTGTTAAATCTTGTTTTCTATCAGACGAGATGCCGCAAATCAACCCAGTAACAAGGGTAGGAGGGAAGCTCGGCTTCATCTGAACTCTATAACAACAACAACAAATAAAGTCAATTAAATGTCCAAACCCTTCCTGTGATGGTGTGTTTTAAACTCTGGTAAACCCAGCACCCAGCCAGCCAAGTCACATTATCGGCTTATAAAAGGACTGTTGGGACAAAAGATGGAGGACTAAAGTGATGAGAGATGCAGAGAGACAGACAGTGGGGTGGGAGTAAGAGGCCACCGATTGTTTTTAGGACACTTCCAATAATATAAATGGCTTCAAATGACCTATAGCTGAAAGCAAAAAGGGCCTAATGGGGATATTGATGTTTGACTTTTTCCTCTCTCTACACACACGCATCTGCTCTCCATCAATATTTAACCAACAATTCATGAAAGCTGTTCCATTTAACAAAACAAAGAATGCTTAGTGAATTACTAAAACTGAATTTTACCTAACTATTACATGCCAAAAAAATATATATCCCTGATTTGATCATGTGGTCTGCTTCTGTCACAATGCGGAGCAACAAATAGCGGTTTCCACTGGTCTCTCTCTCCCTCTCTCACGCACACACATTCCTCAGCACACATTCAGTGTTTTTGAACACTTTCCTGGCATTGGAGTCTGTGCAGATGTGCTTGCACATGTTACCACACAGATTGATCCCCCTGAGCCGAATCCCTGCTTAGTGACATCCATGCCTTCCCTTTCCTGTTAATGATTTTTGATGACTAATATCAGCCTAAGGAAATATGCCTATAAAGTTTAATACCTGATGCGATGACTGCCCGTATATAGTGATCTGCACAATCCTGAAACTAAGAATTTCATAAACATTTAACTTGCTACAACTTGCTGCAACAGTAAGACAGTGAAAGCTGTAGCGAATAACATCTGTAAAAACTGTAACTTACTGAGGAGTTCCTGTTGATGCCCCTAACTTAGTGGAAGTCACGCTAAGTTGCAACTGGGAGCCATTTGAGAAAAACAAAGCGATGCCGGTCTCAAAATAATAGTCTGTGGTCAAGGTCAATTCTGGTCAGTTCAAATCTCCCATTGTGTCCCACAGGGCATGAAGATCCTCCCAAAGAAAAGCTGATAGTACGAGGGGTCAGAATCCCACAATTCTTGTAAGGGACGTGAAGCCACGGCCCTTGAGTGAGGCTGTAAACCACAAATATGCGTCAGTAATTTGTCACTGATCCTGGAAACCAGATGATTATTTGTAGCGCAGGGGCATTCCTCCAAGAATAACTGGACCATGTTTGTGTTTGGGATTGGGTGCCACGTTAGTTTGACAGTGACTAGTGTTTGACAGAAAAATGAGAACGGGACAAGAATTTGTGAAAGAAAGAAAGAAGCTGACAAGACATTAGTGGAAGGGAGGAGGCTAAAGGTGATTTACAGGCATGTAAGCTGACAGTAAACACACTTTGCATCTGAAGAAAGGCGTTCAGTCAACCACCATGGTAAGCCAGTCAGATGCTAGGTCTGGTGTGGTTTCAGACCACAGAGAGACACTAATTAAAAACTATGCGCAAGTGACAATCTACTCTGTATGACAAGTAACTTGACCTGTTGAAATCAAACTTCTGCTTTTCAGCTTTGACTGATAACTTATCTCACATAGAGACTACCCACAGACAGCTACTACAGCAAATCTAAACTTCCTCTTCAGGCTTAAAGCAATCAGTTAAACCCTCTACCTTGCAAATCCAAAAGGAGATCACTGAGGTTGGGGAAAACATTCCAGAAATACCACAATCCAAAATGTAAACACGACCACACTTCTTACTACAACAAGATTAAGCAAGCAAAGCACAAACACTTACATTCTATTTGACGTTATCTCACCTGAAGGAAAACTGGTTGCACTCGCTGCAACTGTATTATGTATTAGGTTGTTTACTGCAGCGACACTGACTGCCATGTAGTGGCCCCCCCTTGACCTGCACGCAAGGTCCTGACCCTGTGCCATGTACAGTATGTGCTTGTGTATGTAAGTTAACTATATGTTCACATACTAGATGCAACAAACAGATTGGGATGATGACTCAACATGCAGACATTCATAAATCCAGCCACCAGCCACTTCAGCTCTAACACTTTTCTCTTATGTGTTCACTCCTCTGTGTTTCAGCCTGAAGGGTACAGATAAGACAGAGTTGTCTCTGGCTTCAACTCTTGACCTCTGACATCAGGACAGGACTCGACATTTCTTTCCTTTCACAGCACAGAGATGTTTCCTTCGAAGAAAACACCCTGATTATGAAGTGTTTACAAAACAAATCCGGACAATCGGCTTTTCCCTGCTCTGGAGTAGGATTGTTAAACTAAGCTGAGGGACATTTACAAGAATCTTAACACTTTTGGTTTATTTTTAGCCGTTCATGCGCTCTGTTTGCTTTGAAAAAAAATAAATGCAAACAAATAAGGAGCTTGTATTTTCTGTCACATGGTTATTAATATGCAGGCTGCAGATCTGAAATTCTTCAGATTCCTGGTTGCCAGAGGACTCTTAAGGGATTCTTCTGTGCACGTTTCAGGTTCTCTGACGTATGTGCAATGATCAAATATCACCCAGTCAGGTCTTGTGTCACCATCATGTACTTCATCTACTGTAAGTGGCAAAAACTTTGGGTTCAATCAGCCCCACTAGGCAAGCGCACAGTACTGTAGAACATGCCATCATGTGGTATATTTACATTACATAAATATTTATGACTAAATAATACCTGTAGATTGTAAGATATTTTCGTCTCTCAAGTGTGATTTAAGAAGCTCCTAGT